TCAGAGGACGGCGGAAGACCGGAAGGCCTGGCGTGATCTGGTCCATGGGGTCGCGAAGAGTCGGACTCGACTGCGTGACTGAACAACAACAACAACAATGCATAAAAATAATCATAAATGGGAGGGAAAATGCCTTTCTTAGGATGTGTGTGTGTGTCTTACAAGGGAATATGGGCTTTCCAGGTTTGGTGGGAAAAACATCTCAGAATAATCCATTGCATTGCCCCAAATTGTCTCCAGGAGGAGAGCTGACTGGATCATCTACGGTGGGGCTGGCATGCTGGGATACTCAGCAAAAGCATTGCAATACGGGGACCTGCACATGAACCCCAAAGCGATTCAGATGAGAAGCGTTCTGAGTGCGCCTGTAAGAACACAAAAGGTGGTGGTGGGGCCATGGCTCAGTGACAATCTGCTTTGCATGCAGAAGGCCCCAGGTTCGATCCACATTGTCCCCAATCGAAAGATCTCAGGTAGCAGTATGTTTTGGGGAAGACCTTTTACAACCTGAGAGCGTGCCAGTCAGAGTAGACAGTACTGATCTAAATAGTCAAGGGTCTGACTTGGTATAAGGCAGCTTGACATGTTTAGCAAGTGCCACTGCTCATTGATAAAAAGCCCCAGTTTTGCTACAGAAGGTCTCTGGTCCAGCCCTGGGCATCTCTACTGAAGGGGCTCTCTGGTAGCAACCACTGAGGCCCTGGAGACCTGCTGCTGGAGTTGATAGGACTGAGACGGATGGCCTGATGGCTGGACTCAGTACGAGGCATGTTCACTCACACGGGAGCATCTTTTAGGGAGAAGTTCTGGTCCAGTGCTCGAGCGCACGCTTGGCACCTGAAAGATCCCCGATTCAGGTCTCTGCATCTTCAGTCAAAGGGACTCGCACAGCAGGTGTCCAGCAGGATCTTTCTGTATCTGGAGTGGACCTGGACTGCCGGTCAGAATGGGCTGTCTCTTTGCTTTGGGGAAGAGATGTTTGGGGGAAGAGGTGAGAGGTATAGTTCTCGATGCTTGAAAAAAGCAAAGAACATTCTGCAGGATTTGTCACACCCTGAACACTCCCTGTTTGAACTGCTGCCTTCGGGTAGAAGATATAGGACAATTAAAACAAGGACAAACAGATTAAAAAATAGTTTTTATTCGAGAGCTATTATTGCTTTAAATGCTGTATGAAATTGGAATTTGGGTGACATTGGTGGTTTAAGTTGCAATGTGAACCTTAAGGGAGTTATGGGATGGTTGTGAGCAGTGTTCCCTCTAAGCTGAGTTAGTGTGAGCTAGCTCACAGTTTTTTAGCCTATGGCTCACACATATTTGTCTTGGCTCAGGAAGGATGGCTCCAGAGCAAACTAATTTATGCAGTAGCCAAATTGCTCACTCACAACTTTGATGCCAGTAGCTCACAAAGCAGAATTTTTGCTCACAGGACTCCACACTTAGAGGGAACATTGGTTGTGAGCGGTTGTAGATCACCGAATGATTGCACCTTTAATTTCGTTGTACTATGTACAATGACAATAAAGTATATTATTATTATTAGCACCGTGGCAACTATCCAGGGTGACCACAGGCACCAGTTTGGGGATCGTTAGTTTCATTTATATGAACTGTACACATGAATTTAATTCCCCCCCCTAAGTAGGGTCAGATTAAAAATTTTAAAAAATAATGTTTTTTGACTGGGTTTGTCCCTTTTTCCAATGCCACGCACGGGCTGAAAGATTCATTTCTCCAAGCAAAGGGCTGGGCTTTCAATAGCGTTTGCAGCTAGTGACATTATGAAACAGTAATCCTAGCACAGCTGTTTTATTATGTTAAGACTGGCCAGCTCCCAGGACTTCTGAGAAATGGCAAACTTAATTTGCCAAAATGATAGAAATGGCAACCACATGCCCTAAACCTCTTGCCAGATTCCTCGGGCACCTCGCCACGGCGAATGCAATCATCGTAAGTTTTCACGGTGATCCGAATTTCAAATGAATCTCTCTTGGCCGCAGAAGTGTTTTGAGTAAACAGCTCTGATACCGTGTGGTGTCCTCATTTGGAAGAATTCAGAATGCATACTTTTTGCAATGAGCAGCTGCTGCGTTGGCTGGCCCGGAGGCCCCGCTAGTGTGGTGGTGTGTGCATTTCAGTGGCGCTCCACCTGCCTCTTTTAATTGCATTCCTGTATTCAGGCGGAAGACAGGAAAAAGGGGAAACCGTCATGCCTAGTTGGTTTTGATTCAGCGCCGAGGGTTAATGATAAATGGCCATTTCCCCCTGGCTACCTTTGGATTTCTCCTGCCAGTATCCTTTTCTCCAGGTATTTAAAAAGAAAGAAAGAAAAGACCAGGCTGTCTGCCCTTCGCTCTCTCTTTCCCCCTTTCCCTAACTGTGGGAAATGCAGATGTGGATTGCTCCAGTGATTTTAATTCAGCTTTTGGAGTCTAGAGAGTTCCTTTAATAAGATCTCTAACAATCCCTGACAGGGAACTCCAGAGGGACAGTGCTGAGAAATATTTGGCTCTAGAACCGGAGTGGAGGGCTGGGACTGGAACTGGATCTTGCAGGAGCCGAATTGTGGGAAACTCTGGAGACCAGAGACAGAAACCTGATTTAGTTCAAACCCGAGAAGTTTCCAAATCTCATTTTGTGCTGACAAAGAGAACCTGTAAGAATCCAATCGTTTCTTATTTGGAGTTATTTGATTTTTTCCCTCTTGTTACGCAGGCTCCGTATGACTTACAGCGCAAAAAAAGTCAAGACTAAATTAGGCTGCTGAGAAGTGAGGGCACAGTCCTGACAAATGTAAACACTTCTAAGTCCCCTTGATTTCCGTGGGCTTAATTCTTTCCCATCAGAACCAGTGGAGTCTAGAAAGTGGCCAGATCGTGCCCTTGTATATGAACAGTGAAAAATAACAATCCCATTAATGCCTCAGTCCCTTTGCACCATTGACCATGGTCATTAAAGGCTACACCCCGAAGGAGTGCATTGTAGCCCTCCCTGAAGTGGCTTGGGCTTTGGTGTATCTCAGAGGTGGAGGCCACCGTCTCTCTGTGTCCTTGCCCACAGGCAGAATAGTCAAGGGGACTTCCTGGGGGAGCCAGGGGTTCTCAATGGGTTGCTGGGGGCAGCGGAGTCCCGGTCATTCTGGCAAATAACCAGGGGTCATTTCCTGCAGGAGCGGAGCTCTGGCAGTAAAGAGCCCAGGGGGTGGGCACATGCAGCAAGCCCCACCCCCTGCTCCCAGAAGCCCTCAGTCAGAGGAAGAAGCAGCCAGGTAAGTTGCAGAGCCCCCCCCGGCCCCCCGGCCCAAAACAGTCCCGTGGCACCTTTAAGACCAAGTTTTATTCAGGTACAAGCTCTCCCTCCTCTGCGAGGACAGATCTGCACGTCCCGTCCCCCCCAATAGCTAGGAATCCAAAACAGTCCAGTGGAGCCTGAGCAGTGGGTGTTGCCTTCTGATACACGTCTGGTGATGTCAGAGGGTGTGGCATATGCAAATAAGTTACGCTAATGAGCTCCTGCACCTCTTTTTCTATGAAATGACCCCTGCAAATAACCATCCCCATAAATGTCATTTGAGAGGTGGGGAGAACTCATCTCTGTACACTGTTTATGCACCTTTTACAATATTTTCTCCGTAGTGGTCATTATTTTCAAGTTCTTATCAGTTCAGTCCTAAAGATGTACAACCTTCTAAGCCTGCTAACTTAAGTGGACTTGGCAGGGTGTAACGGGGTTTAGGGATTGTACCGCCTCATTGGCTATGCTCACAATGTGAGTGATTGAGGGGGGATAAAAAGACAGGTCCACCCTCCTTCAAGGCATACTTATGAATAAAAGGGACATCTATCATCATCTTTCTTTCTCCCAATTTTCTGGCCTTTGCAGACCCCCAAGGTGGGTTACAGTAACCTGAAAACCAACCCCCCCCCCCAATAGAAGATGATAGCCAGCTAAACAGCAGCCTAACCAAAATATACTACGAAGAGCCTCCATCTTAAAACCACAATCCTAGCAATAAAACCAAGAAGCCCCTGGTCTAGAAACTGTGCAGCAGATGAAAGGCAGTGTGGCGTGCTTGCTTTACTGGAGGTTCTCTCCAAAAGGACTCTGTTCAGGTGCTTCCGTGTCACTAACACGAATGGGCCATTCCTCTCTTGGGAGGGCATTCCACTATCATAGCACTCTTTAGGAAACTCTCTTTGTCTAGCCATCTACCATTCTTCAGGGGCAGCGGGGGGGGGGGGAGCCCGCTGCAAAAGACTTCTGGGGGTCGTGTCCCTGCAGGGCTACAGGAGTGAAGCTAATTTTTCTAAACTGCTTTAGCATTTTGTGACTGAGGATGAAACCAGAGGGGTTGTGTCATCTCGTGCGTGCGTGTAGTGTCAGTTACCTGGCTTTTCTTGCTGTCAGAGGTGGCAACTACAGCTAAAGCCTGCGTTTTGAGCAGGGCTATTTTTGGGCAGGAACGCACAGGAACGGAGTTCCGGCTGGCTCCCAAGTTGGCCATGCCCAGCAGGAACTCATTAGCATAGTAGGCCACACCCAACAGCAGAAACTCATTAGGATTGGCTACATTAGGGGTGTGTGGCCTAACATGCAAAGGGGTTCCTGCTACAAAAAAAGCCCTGGGTTTTGACAACAAGCAAGGTAAACAGAATAAGAAGCAAAAGGTGGGTGTGGCTGGATGACCACACTTCTGGTAACATGGGCGTGTAGCCTAATATGTTAATGTGCTGTGCTGTCAGGGGTGTGGCCTAATATGCTAATGAGTGCCTGCTGTTAGGTGTGGCCTATTATGCTAATGAGTTCCTGCTGGGCTTTTTCTACAAAAAGAGCCCTGGTTATGAGGATCAATTGGATATTTTCCATCAGAAGAGCTTCCGTTGCAGCATTTCCCCCAGAGGCTCATAAATCGTCTGCCGCGTGGCATGTGGCGAATACCACCCTATATCCAGAGTGTGATTTTAACAACTGTTCTCTCTCATGATGTTTTCCAGATTCAGATTTGCATGCATTGACAGCTCGTTGCTGCTGCCTGATTCTGAATGATGACAGAACAGGACTTAGCGGATGTCGTTCAGATTGCTGTGGAGGACCTGAACCCAGGTCACCCAGGTAGGTTGTTGGAGGAATATGTGTGGTGGCATTCCAGCTGCTGCCGCCAGCTCCATGTGTCTGTGTGGGACAAAGACCGAAGGATCAGAAGTGGGCTGAAGAATGTGCTTTCCTTTAGAGCCGGATCAGTCTGGTGATGGCTGCTCAGTCTGGAGCCGATAGCAGTCTGGTGAGGGCAAGATAGCTCACATCATGTCCTGCCACCTTCTCCTTCCAGCCTCCACCTCTCCAGTGTGGGATGCAGTGGGGGAGGGGGGAGCAGTAAGGGAAGGGGTGGGCCAAGCGAAGAGAGTTGGTTGGCCCGATGCAGCCCGCAAACGGCTCTGATTAGGGGGACAACGGTTAGTGTCATAGAGTCATCTAAGGTTCAGAGGTCATTTCAGGGGGGGGATCACGGGGGATCGCAGTTCCCCCGGGTGAGGTACGGGGGGTCACTCCTGCCGGCCTTGCAGGTCCACCGCCGGGCCCCTCATGGGGCTCGGCAGTGGAGCTGCAAGGCCGGCGGCGGCCGGGACCGTTGGAGGGCGGGGTGTGTGGCCTTATGACACACTTCCAGTGACGTCAGGGGGTGTGGCCTTATGACACACTTCCGGTGATGTGGCATATGCTAATGAGTTATGCTAATGAGTTCCCCTAGCTCTTTTTCTACGAAACGACCCCTGCGAAGGTTAGAGTTGGAAGGGACCTTGCAGGTAATCTAGTCCAGCCCCCTGGACACAGCCGAAAGATGGTCGTCCAGCCTTTCTTGAGTCTCCACGCAGGAGGTGGTTCTGCTTGTGGGGAGTGTGTGCTCTGGTCCAGTCTCTTCCTGGGAAGTGGTTCAGGCCCAGTTTGCTTTATTGCTCCATATCACCCTTCCTCATTGGATGGTATTTATTGAAGTATTGAGAATCGCTTGCCTTGTTTCTGTGTTTTTTTGCAGTTGTGTTGGAAAATCACGAAGTGACAGACGAAGATGTAGATCCACCTTTAAAGCGCCCCCGGATAGAGATTAATTGCCAGGATCCCTCAATTAAGGTTGTGTTGATGAAACACCCCCCCACACACACACTTTTCCTGATTGGTGATGTGCAGTTGGAGGGAAAGGAGTGCCTTCTCTTTATGGTCTCAGGTCCTTCAGACCACCCAGTGCAGCCACAAGCCCCTCTCAGTTTGAATGAGGCAGAGAGTTCAGGTATACTGGTGAAAGCTCCACTGTCTTTATTCGGAGGGTTACATTGCAGAGAAAGAAAGCACATGCTTTCCTATGGCTATGACACCAGTTTGAATCTGGGTTTGTAGTACATGGAATTACACATTTGAGACTGCAAGTAACCATCTGATTAGCAGAAGCTCTATTCCTTAGTCTTCAGTAAGACGCATGAACATCTGATATAGACTGGACCACCTTTAAATTAGGAGCTGCGGTGGCTCAAGTGGTTAAGACGCTGAACTGCAGGCTGTGGAAGGTCGTTCGTTCAGCAGTTCGAGACCCGAGTGTGCCGCATGACGGAGTGAGCTCCCGTCTCTAGTTCCAGCTCCTGCCAACCTAGCAGTTCGAAAGCAAGACATTGCAAGGAGATAAATAGGTACCACTTCGGTGGGAAGGGAACAGCGTTCCGTGCGCCTCGGTGTTTAGTCATGCTGGCCACATGACCACGGAAATGTCTTCGGACAGCGCTGGCTCTTCGGCTTTGAAACGGAGATGAGCACCGCAACTCTAGAGTCGGATTCGACTGGCTTTCGAGCAAGGGAACCTTTACCTTTTAACCTTTAAATTAAGCCCCCAGTACCACTGTTGAGAGAAGCCTCTTTCCTAAGAAGCCTAACTAATCCTACCCGGTTCAGCTTCTAAGTCTTGTAGTTTGACAGGAAATGGTTTTTCAGCTGCTAGTTTCACCCCTTTTAAATACGATAGTACCTTTTGGAGGATTTCTCTTCAGTGAGATCTTCTCTACTTGGTGCGGCCTCCATTTTGAAGTAAACTTTAATTATAGCCTTGCGTGATTAACAGAAACCGCCAGCATCTTGCCAGCCTTTCAGCTGGTGAGACTGGAAACTTCTTTCTTCAGGTCAGACGGAAATTAGCAGGTTTCAAATCTTGAATATTAAACAAACAATATCAAACATCAAACAATGTTAATCTAGATCTACCCTCCTTCAGTTACTTTACAGTCCAAATTTGAGTTGGTCCAGGCTAAGCCCATTGAAATCTGCAGTGTTAGGCACTTCAGTTGCTTCAAAAGGGGGGAAGCATTTTTATTTAATTTGGTTTATAGTTTGCCCTACCCAGGGGGTTTTCTGGAAGAGCCAGAGAGGACTTTCAATAGTTAATGATGTTTAAATGTGCTGCCACTGTGTGGGCCACTTTTTTTACTTGATGTTGCACGCCCCATGTGACCCCTAGAAGTGGCTGTGAGTCATGCAAGGTGGTTAAGTGACTAGTTTAGGCCTTGGATGGGTTTTCTACCTTTCTTACTATGAATGGCTTACAGGGCAATCTTAAAAGAACACATTCCTGGGCAGTGTTCCCTCTAAGCTGAGTTATTTAATTTGGTTTATAGTTTGCCCTACCCAGGGGGTTTTCTGGAAGAGCCAGAGAGGACTTTCAATAGTTAATGATGTTTAAATGTGCTGCCACTGTGTGGGCCACTTTTTACTTGATGTTGCACGCCCCATGTGACCCCTAGAAGTGGCTGTGAGTCATGCAAGGTGGTTAAGTGACTAGTTTAGGCCTTGGATGGGTTTTCTACCTTTCTTACTATGAATGGCTTACAGGGCAATCCTAAAAGAACACATTCCTGGGAGTAAGCCTCACTGAAAAGACCTGAGTAGGGTTCTTCTGAGGAAACCTGTTTAGGAGGGCACCGTTAGTCTCGCTGAGTAATTTTTGTGTAATCTTTAAATAAAATCCACCAGAGGGCGCACTAGAATTTTCTTAAAGCTTAAAGCGGACTGCATGCTGATTCAGAATGTGTTCCATTAGGAGTTTTCCTGTTAAAAGACATGCTCCTCAGGACCTTCCATTGTTTGCAGGGACACGTATTCAGCGGAACTACGAATTGTGTCCGTTTTCTGAAAAGAAGGATATTGGGCCTTCTGGAATCTCTGGCTTGCGATGGGAGCCTGTAATTGTGAACAAGGGCAAAGTCTTTTCATTCCAAACATGCCCTGGGATTTAGTCCTTTTTCATATTTTAGCCCAGTGGTGCCTATTATTATTATTATTATTATTATTAGTCACAGTCATATATTTGACTGGTAGACGGTGTTCTGCTATTTGAGTTCTCGCCAAGTTCCTGGGAATTGCAGGTGTACTGTTGTTACAGGTAGGGTGCATAACTGTTTTAAAATCTAACATTTTTCATAACCACGGGCAGCGCACTTTTATAAATGTCTCATTTTTAATGCCCACCGAAGGGATGACTAGGTGAAATAAACTAGAGCTTAGAAGCTAACACCTGCTTTCCTACAGGTCTCACCTTACTAGGCTAAGCTTTGATAATGCGGTGATGTCCTTATCAGTTTTGCGAATGATTGCACTTAGCAACTGGGTAGCCAGATAGTGCTCCTTGGATACGTATGGCATTTATCTGGACTTTTGAGATATAGATATGTGTGTGCGTGTGCGCGTGCATGTGGGGTGTTTGAAGATAAATCTGTCGGATTTTTTTTTTTTTAAAAAAAACAAACCCCGCTGAATTTATTTGGCTGCCTTTTTATTTCCAGTCGTTCCTGTATTCCATTAACCAGACGATCTGCCTGCGCCTGGATAGCATTGAAGCGAAGCTGCTCGCCCTTGAGGCCACCTGCAAGTCCCTGGAAGAGAAACTGGACCTCGTCATGAATAAGCAGCACAGCCCCATCCAGGTCCCCATGGTGGCAGGATCCCCGCTCGGTGCTACACAGACGTGCAACAAAGTCAGATGGTAAGGCACCTTAACACACGGGATTCACTGCCACAGGAGGTGGCGGCGGCTACAAGCATGGACGGCTTCAAGAGGGAATTGGATACGCATATGGAGCAGAGGTCCCTCAGTGACTATTAGCCACAAGGTACAGATAGGGACTCTCAGGCTGGGGCAAGTGATGCTCTGTATTCTTGGTGCTGGGGGGAGGGGGGGGGCGTGGGAAGGCTTCTAGTGCCCTGGCCCCAATGCTGGACCTCCTGATGGCACCTGGTATTTTTGGCCACTGAGTGACAGAGTGTTGGACTAGATGGGCCATTGGCCTGATCCAACATTGGCTTCTCTTATGTTCTTGTGTCTGGGGCAAGGGATGTTCTGTATTATTGGTGCTTGGGAGGGGGGGGCGTGTGGGAGGGCTTCTAGTGCCCTGGCCCCACTGCTGGACCTCCTGAGGGCACCTGGTATTTTTGGCCACTGAGTGACAGAGTGTTGGACTAGATGGGCCATTGGCCTGATCCAACATTGGCTCTCTTATGTTCCTATGTTCTTAAGGCGCGGGTGTGCTGAAAAGCGTGAGCTCCCTGTGCACAGTATCTGCTTGGCACGACCCAGCTGGGCGGCTCTCTAGGTAGTTGTCAAGGGCTTGGTATGCAGTCTAGATTGGGGAACGGACTAATCTCGGAGGCAGTTGTGCTGCCAGCTATGCGGTGCTGCTTTTGGTTAGACAGAAACTAAACATACCACCTTGGTTTGTGCATGACTTGGAACAGTTGCCGCATAATGTCTTGGCTTAGGCCTGTGTGCATGAGGAACGTTCCCTGTGGAACAACCGAGCCCCTTTTTCCAAAGGGGGAGTCCTGGTCTCTTCTGGCAAGTGGACTGCTCCTTGGCCACTGAGATAGGCTGGCTAGGATTTTACTTGGAACGAAGAATTTAGCTCCCTGGATTCAACTCTCAGTTTTTGTTTTTGTTTTTCAACTGAGTTGCCTTATGACAGTGAAGGTGATTTAGAAAAGTCCCCTGTCTCCAGTCATGCATATGGTAGCGCATTACTGGTAGACATGGAGTACATGGAGCCAGATTGCACCACCAGTACATATCAAAGGAAAGATCTGGATCAAAATGAACAAGTGCGTCTTTGCTAAAGCCGTTATCTCTCTGTTCCCGCACATCATCTGAAGATACGTAAATTCACGTAGGTATGGAGTTCCTGTTCTCAGGCCTCGGTGGGGACAGGTTTTTTTGTAATTAATAAATCTGATGCTCAAAGAGTTGTTTTTTCCCCTTCATGCAACAACAATCACTTTAGTTTCGCCTTTTTGTAATTTATTCTTGGTTATGCTTTCCTGAAGACCTCCATTTGAGTACTTCATTCTCTCCTGTGCTTTAGTGTATTCCTAGTCTGTGTTTGTAGTCTTCAGCTTTAAAAAAAATAAATCACTGGCAACTCTCTGCAAGTCTCTGAATATTTTTCTGGTATGTGATGCTAGAAAATGATCTCAGTATTGCAGGTGCCTTGGATACGTACAGAAAGAATCTGTTTGCTTCTCGCCTCGTAATGTGAAGCTTCCACCTCAGTGGTACAGAACGTCTTTTGTTGGCATACAAATCCATTCCTATCTGATTTGGCACCCAAGTTTCACTATAATCCTCTGTTGGACAGTTTCTTCCCAACCCCGGCTTCTCTCATGCCCAATTTTTTAGCATTTCTTTCCTGACTAACATTAGCACTCATATTCAGGGATGTCTATATATTTTATAAAAGCACTGTTCACATTCTTGCTGGGCCATCTCAGTGCGGGGTTACATTACACCCCCTCCCCCTACAGTAATGTAAAATGTCATGCCAGTAGTTTTAGGAACCGAAGAAGAGCCCTGCTGGATCAGACCATGCTGTCTCCCACAGTGGCCAATCAGCTCCTGCTTCTCTTCTCCGGAGAGTCGTCTGTCCAAGTGTTTTAGGTTTCTGAGTGGGAAGCACCCACAGTTTTTCACAAACAAAAAGCTATAAGTCATGCATTTATATTACAAACCTCTGCTTCCACCCACGTGGATTTTGGCCAGTTCTCTGAAAATTAAGCGTGGACTTTGCTTCTCTCAGAATTAGAAATTCTGGAATCTTGAATTGTTTCTGTGACTATCGACAGGTGAATTCTAAACATGCAGAGTGTTCTTCCAAGCACACATAGAATCCAGGTTGCATAGTTATACACATGATCTGTAAGGAGGTTATTTATATGTCATCCATTCCCTCTGGAATGCATAATCTTAAACCTTTGCTCCTTCTGTTGGCCTCTTTCTCAAAGGGCTCTTTGAAGGAGGTTTCTTGAGGCAGCTAACCTGGCCAGGAACTTGGTAACGCATATGCAGTGAGTGTCCTTGAGTGTAGTCCTTCACCAGCTTTTGCTAATTAGGGTCTAATGCTTCTCTGATGGATTTAGTGATGTCTTGAGGCTGCATTTTGCCTGTGAAGAATTGGGGGCCCTTGTTAGGCTTTCTGAGGGCGTTTAGCAATTTATCTCTCACCTGGGGAAGTTATTTTACTGCAAATGTTTTTCTCCAGGTGGATAGAACTCAGTTTTGCGAGATGAGATACGTTCTAGCAAGATGATGAACGGCGGTGATCTGCTTTCTGCTGCCGTTCAATGTGTGCAGAACGAGGCTTGCTGTTTTATGGGTTCATCGTAAATATCGTCTTGTATAATCGAGAGTGGAAGTTTTCCCTCTTCAAGACAGGGGCTGTGCTGTAGGTAGGCAACGAGAGCAGGTGGAGGTTGTTATCGCTTGCCTTATATCTAAAAGCCTTTAATTAGATATATTGTTTAGCTGTTTGGGTTTAAGGCAAAACATCTTTGGGGTTTCCCCTTCTGTGGGGCACTTACATTCGTGGAGAACAGCTGTATTAATCTTGTTAATGGAGACAAGCAGTATTTAGGGTTGCCAACCTCCAGGGAGTTAAAGTCAAGGACGAGAGATCACAGGCTGAACTCTGTAAGGAAAAACAGCCGTGATATAGGGTTACCAAGTAGCTACCTTCGAATTGGCGGGGGACACATGGTTCCTGGCTGGAACATCTCTCAGTGTAACCCTCCCCCGCCGCACCATGCCATCGGCCAGACGTGACGCCAGCACGCTGGGCACGTAGCTGGGCGATGCTCTGGCAATGGAGCAGGAAACTCGATGGTACCATCGAGTTTCCAGCTCCATAGCCAGAGCGTCGCCCAGCTACGTGCCCAGCGTGCTGGCATCAGATCTGGGCAACGGCATGGTGCGGCGCGTTTGAGGAATTTCAGATGATATAATCTGGAAGAGGAACAGTTCCCAAACGGTTTCTGGTCTGTCATTTCAGACAGAACCGTTTTAGAACCGGTTCCCTACCGGAATATATTTGTAGTTACAGACACAAACTCTTCTGTCCCGTTTAGGAAATGGGGCTGAAGCGTTTTACTTGTCAACCGCTTCCAAGTAGTCTTCAGATTCCTCTCCTGGTTCCAGTGCGATTTTCCCCGCCGTTTTTCGCCTGGGTGGGAATGTTCGCTTTATAGCGCTATAGCGCTATGACGCAACAGCATTGTATCAACCCCATTGGAATGCCTGGAGTGTTTTGTTATAATGCTATAGTGCTATAGCGCTTTAAAGCGAATGTTAAAAAAAAAGCCAGAGATCGCCCGCACAGGTGAAAAATGGCGGGGGAAAAGCGGGGGAAAAGCAGTGCAGTCTGAAATGGCAAACTGCTTTAGATCCATCTCTTTACCGGAAGGGGAAAGCCATGTGTGAAATGGTAGTCCTCTACTGGTTTACTCCATGACGGATCAAAAACGGCTTCAAAACAGGTTAAAAAGGGTAATGTGAAATTCGTTTATGTGTCCCCCGCCAATTCGATGTAGGTACTTAGTAAGTCCACCGTGATATGATAACGAAACCTTGTTAGAGAAAAATATTTTTTCTTTCATTATCCGGTGAATAACAAATCATAAAGGTGTTTCCTTTGAAGTAAATTGGTCTCAAGTTTTTCTTTCTAAACTTGAGACCAATTTATTTCAAAGAAGACACCTTTATGATTTGTCATTCACGGGATAATGAGAGAAGCTATATTTTTCTCTAACGAGGTTTCGTTATTGTATCACGGTTGTTTCTCCTTACAAAGTTCAACCTCCAGGTGGTGGCTGGAGATCTCCCGGAATTATAGCTGATCTCCAGGCGACAGAGATCAGTTCCCCAGTGGAAATGGCAGCTTTGGAGGGTAGGCTTTATGGGGTTATTATTGGGTATTGTAAATAAGAAGCGGGAGACTGACCGGTTATGAAGGTGCACAGAGAGTTTATATAGTTATAAAGGTGAATATATACAGAGATATTTACAGGCTATTGAACAGCATGTTGTGCCTTAGTCTATGAGAACTGAGTCCCCTCCAGTTTACTAAGCTGATAGCTATTATGCTAAACTCCAGCCAATATCTAACAAGGTGATGTAATCACTAACTCTAACAAGACCTGAAAGAGCAACACCTGCTAGAAATACCTGGCTGTAATTACATGATTACTAGCATGACAGCGAGGTCTGACAAACAGATCAAACTGATCTATAGTAACTGCTTGCTACCTCTATCACTCTGACATATATCTCAATAATTATATCCCCCCGAGTTCCCTCTCTTCCTCAGATTCTGCCTTCCCCACGTGGTGCCCCCAGATATCCAGACATTTCCCCAACTAGGGCTGGCAACCCTATGGATTGTGCATCAACTCTTCTCCCCTACCCCCCCAAGGGCTTCGTAACTTTATCAGCAAGCAGGTAAAACTGTTTTTACTTCCTTAACATGCTTTGTTACTCCAGGAACATTAACTTTCCTTGAAGTTGTGACTATAACTCTGCAGGAAAGGCCTTGATACTCTTTTGTATCCAGTTTGGTGTAGTGGTTAAGTGTACAGATTCTAATCTGGGAGAACCGGGTTTGATTCCCCACTCCTCCACTCGCACCCGCTGGATGACCTTGGGCAAGTCGTAGTTCTGGCACAGCT